TCTCTACAGTTATGAGCTGCTTAAAACTGTTCACCTTTAAGCAGGTCTGGGCTGCTGGTGTGTTTCTTATTCACTCACTATGAGTTTAGTTAACTGTCTCCATTTTAATCATTAGTTATTATTATTCTCCGGCTCTCTTCAACAGCATTTCTTTATTGTGTCTTCCTCCCCTCACCAACTTGTTGCATTGGTTGTCTCAGGTGGACTCAGACGATAACTTTTCACTCAGTATGTAAGGATGCGTCTCAAAGTGTGTTTAAAAGAGAAGAACGGGTTTATAAGAGGGCGGGAAATGTGGGGAAGGTTTTTATGGCTTAAAATACATAAAAATATCAGAATAAACATGTGGATTCTTCTTTTTGGATTTTAACCTATTGTTGGGGTTCCCAGAACTTAACCTCCACAATAATGGAGGGAATACTGTATAGATTTAGACAAAGATATATAGATATATATAATATAGATATAGATAACAATGAATTAAACTGACAAACACAAGCTTAAACATCTCACCCCAACAAGTTGATGAAGGCCAGATATTGACTTTGGTATCATTTTAACATCTCAGACACGGAATAACAATTATGAAAGGACGGCAGCAAAATGATTTGCTGCTTCTGAAGGAGTTTCCACAAAAGCTTCAACTTTTGCAGCCACTGCTTATCTGACTCTGATTTTACTCCAATAACTTTCTTTCTGATTAAGATTTGCACAACATAAAGCACAAAATTAGGCACATTTTAAATATGCTAAATCTGATACATTTTTTATCAAATATAGCTTTTGCTGTTTGACTGTATTCCCTAATTTCTTTGTGTCTGAACGTTCCTGCAGTTGGTTTGTGGTTGATGTGGATTTGCTGCTCATGTGAATCCTCCCACAGTGTTTCATTAGCAGCTGTAACCACAGTGACTCTGATAAAACAGGAATTAGCAGAATCCATCTGATATGAAGCTGTGCTTTGAATACCACTTCCCTCCTCTTTGAAGAGTAGTCAGATATCTGTGTTCAGGTTTTTGTACAGCCTCTTCTACACTTTGTATCACTGTGTTTCTAGAGCACAGTAGTAGAGAGCTGTGTCTGCCAGGGTTAGGGCTGCTATGCTCAGATTAGTTGATGTAGAAGATGTTTCTGATTTATAACGTTTATCAGGAATATATTGACCTGTCTGCTGTCTCCCTCCTTTCCAGAGTATAAACTGAGGAGCCTGAAGGTCAGAATGATGTCTGTACCAGTGAAGTAGAGGATAACTTGAAGTTGTCTCATAGCTACATGTGAGTTTGACAGATTCTCCTTCTGTTGCAGTGACTTTATCTCGTTGAGGAGTGATTGAGTCTCCAGCTGTTAGTCCTGGAAAAAGTAGAGGAAATGAAGCCATCAGACTAACATTGTCCATGAGGCTGAGAGGAGAAGACAGTGGAAATGAGGAAAAGTAGGACAGAAGTAAAAATCTAAAATCCTCCAGACCAATGATTCATTTCTAGCACAGAGTTCAGAGCAGAGAAAGAAATGTTGCGTTCTGAGAAAGAGACAAAAGTTCACCTATGAAGTGAGATGAAAACAAAAAGAGTTGCAGCAACATGTCTTTGGAGCTGCTGAAGACAGACAGACAGCACATGAACAATGTTCTTCCACTGCAGCAGATTCACCAGGTTGTGCTTTTATATCCTCAAACTTTTTGCTCTCCAGACAGAAATCATCTCATTGGTTGAGCTGGACGTATGTGGGCGGGGCCTGTGGATGATTTTGAACCTCCAACATCGAAGTGAGTGAAACAGTAAAATATACAGTGATGTTAAGTATTAAACATTACTGACAGGCTGGATTCAGTGGGATTGATCACTCTTTCTGTTAGCAAATACATGAATAAACCCTTTTTCTATTTTACGCTGCTCGTGTACGCCGACACTAACACAAAAACTGATTTCCATCCACGATTAGATGAGACATGAGTTGAATATCATGAGACAGTTTGCAAGATGAAATTCACAGTGTTTTATTCATGAACGATCTTTTTCGTCACGGTTTCATGTTTAGAATCTGTTCGGATGTATTTTTGTTATTAAGAAATCCAAAAAAAATATCCCAACTAAAACCTCAATGATAAGAACTTTTTTAAAGGCGGAACAACGAGTAAAATGTCCTGTTTTGGCGGAACTTCCCTTGTGCAACAGTAGACGGAAGTGAACTACACAAATGCGGAAGTAGCATTAGCTTTGTTCCTATGTGACCGAGCCGAGTGTTGTTGTGTGAGCCGAGTGTGTGAGCCGCGGCAGCAACGATGCCTTCAGCTCAGTATCTGAGAGAGTTTATCAACGAGCGACTAACTGCTGCTGCTGAACAAATATTCTTGGAGTTTGAAAAAACGATCGTCCAGTACGAGGAAGAGATCGACCGTCAGCGCAGACTGCTGGATATCACCTGGAAACCCCAAATCAAGCTGCACAGGACAGGTGAGTGTCCCTCTGAGGGAGCATCCTGATCACAGCTCTGCGGGGCGTTTCTGATTGTGAGGACTTTTTGGAGATGTGAGCTAACAAAGAGCAAACAGGCGAGTTTCGCTCTGATGGGTGAACTCACGTCAACTCAAATTCAGATTTCAGTGTGCAGAGGGTGGACTATAAAATACATCTTTATTCACCACAGACAGTTATAACCCTGTTGTTTCACACAGCTCATATAAACAACAACAAAATATGAAAACTATTCATTACAAAGGTCTGTGAAGGTTCTCAGTCCTCCAGGTCATCGTAGTCTAAGGAGCTTGGAAAGAAAAGTGTCTGGACTTCTTTAAGTGGCCTGTAGACGTTTCTCCTCTTATCCGAGAAGCTTCTTCAGTTCTAAGGTCAAATGGTGGAGAGTCCCAGATTTAAGCTCTGTTGGAGTGTCCCACCGAGAGGGACAAAAGGACCCCCTAATGATCCTCTACCTAATCACATGAGCCGAGTTGTGAAAACGGGTGTGGGTCACAATCAGCCAGGGTTTCGGCTGAGCTCATTGTGAAACCTAGCCCCAACCTATCATGTGATTTCCTGAGGTCAGATGGCCCAGGATGTGAGTGGGCGTTAAGGCATCTGGGAAGGATCTCAGAACTGGAGGCGGTGGCTTACAACACCAACTGTCTGCCACCTATAATCCAGTTTTTCAGATCCCAACTCTTCATCAGTTCTCACATTGAGTGTTTGGAGTCGAGCCCTCGCGTTGCTCCTCAGTGATGCTTTAATGGTTTTACTGAAGCAGAGAACAAGTTTAACTCATTTTCTCAGCCGTGTGTAAACAGCAAGCAAATTCTCTCAGCTGAACCTGTAACTAATAAAAATGAAATGTCTGTGAAAATGCAGGAAATAATGAACCTGTGTGAATGTGTTAAATCCGGGGCGTCAAACTTATAGCCCGCGGGCCACATTCGGCCTAGAATACAGCTATATCCAGCCCCCGTGATAATTTCTTATGTCAGTTATTACGGTTTTTCTGAATTGCTAAAACACATTTCCTTGAATCTCATCTCTTTGTCTCAAAACACTAAACACAAACTCCAAAATTCAAGCTACACACACAAAATCTTCGACTTGTCTTGCAAAACCAAACATTTGACCCAAAACTATTTTAACTTTTGTCAAAATCAAGCACTACTGTCAAAAACCACACAAAACCAGCCAGTGTGCAAACACGACTTAGCAACGATTACACACTACAGAAATAAATAGAAAACACTGTGAGAGAGCTGGAAAATAATATTTATCTGTTCATTCATTTATTCTCACATTTTGACAAAAAGAAAACTGCCGTAAAAAAACTAAATAAATAAATATATATATATACATACATATACATACATAAAAAAAAATTATATATTTTTACAGCATATTCAGGTAATTTAATCTGCCTCAGCATCACACCTCTGTGCTGGGTCAGGCCACAGGACTTCATCCACATCATATGTTATGGTCTCCCTTGCAAGGCAACGAGATTCCAGATCCAGCCCTGAGAAGATTCCAGTCCCATCTCACCACATGCTCCATTCTTTGCTTGAAGTAGATTTTCCTGTGTGTAAGGGTTTCGGTCGTATACTTTCCATCTCCGTGCTGAGAAAAACACCTCAAAAGGGTTCAAAAGGGAGAGTATGGTGGAAGAAACACTTTGATAAAATGCTGCTCATTGTGAAACCAGTTGCATAATTTTGAACCACAGTGAAAGCTCACATTGTCCCAAATGATATGGGATGCTCTGCCTGCTCGCGGGCTCTCTACTCAAGCAAAGCATCCTGTAGACCATCCAGGAATGTTGCTATAAGTTCGTTGTTGTACAGCCCAACAGTAACATGACTGTGGAGAAACCCACAGCTGCTGATGGCAGCACAGTTACATTTCCACCACGCTGGACATGCAGTTCAATAGTGGCACATTGACCTATGACATTGCAACCTTTTCTTCTCCTTTTTGCTAGATTCAACAGGTATGTTGTCTTCTATATTCCCTTGCTGCATTTCATGCAGTCAAATTGCATTATTTTGATGGACCATATCCACAATAAGTGTCTCCTGGTGTTTAGGGCTGGGACGATGTGTCGACGTAATCGATTACGTCGACGTAAAAAAAAAAACGTGCGTCGATGCGTCGTCACTTTCAAAACAGACATGGTGGCAGCGAGTAGCAGCAACATGATTGAGGCAGCCGCAGTCGACTTAAATCAATCCACCCGAATTCGCAATTCTACAGTATGGGGATATTTTAACAGAAAAGGAAGTGTTTCAGTCATTTGCCGACTTTGTAAGGTGGAAATGGCCTATCATAAAAGCACGACGGCTATGCACCAGCACCTCAAACGACAGCATCCAGGAGCAGCTTCTGCAAAGGACAAACCACCGTATGTTTTCAACTTTTTTACCAACACTGCTTTTTACTCTTTAATTCATCCAGACACCCCCCTCGTAGGCATACACTCACTCATAGACACACAGAAAAACACTCAACCTCCGTAAATGCAAAACTCATTTAAGCTGCTTTTAGTTGGTTTTTATTTGTGGCCCATGCTGGCAAAATGAGTCGGAATGCGCGCAGGCTGATTATGGGAATCTGCGAAAGACGAAAATGTGAGACAGCGAATTGGCCGCAGGAAAAATGTTAACGAGGATAATGCACCACCTGCTAAGCATAGCCGTCATGGACACTATTACAACATTGTTAAAGTGCTTATAATCGAATAAAATTAAAATAGTATCGGATTGTAAAATTAATCGCTAGATTCATCGATTAGGGAAAATAATCATTTCGCCCAGCCCTACTGGTGTTGTGAGCACATGCGTGTTCTTCCACCCTTATTTGGTCATCTTTCAATTCTAAGCAAAATACCATTTAGTTATAAGTATTGTTAAATCTCCCAATTCTTTGGGCTGAAGGAAGAACAACACCTAGTGTATAAATGCTCAATCAACAATCTCTTTATTCCATACAACACTTTGAGCATTAAAAAACGTCTAGACGGGAGATGTGGACTGGAAGGCGTCTGCCAGATCTCAAAGGCTACGTTCACACTGCAGGTCTTAATGCTCAATTCCAATTTTTTGATCAAATCCAATTTTTTTTTTGTCTGCTTGTTCACACTACAAATAAAATGCGACTGCAAACGCGCTCTAGTGTGAACGCTCAAAGCGGCCGCATGCGCAAAAGAAGACATCACGCACAACGAGCTCTGTTTAGACCCAGAGCAAACAATATGTTTGACTGATGGCCCTTAATATAAAGACTTCGGACTTTATGTTTCCCAATTTTTCCTTTAAGTTATTTTGTTATTTACATAATAATGTAAATAGCACATACGAAAGTGACCCAGATCGGATTTGAAAATATCGGATTTGTGCCGTTCACACTGTCACACCATGATCGGATATGGGTCGCATAGGGTCAAAAAAGTCGGATTTGATGCGCTTTCGCCTGCAGTGTGAACGTAGCCAAAGTGTCTGACCGTTTCTCGCATTCTTAGAGCTTTGGCCCCCCCTTCCACAGTCATAAAACCTAAACATCCACATTCTTACTCTCTCAGTGAGCCTAAGTTATGACCTTGGCTTCCTGTGCAGTGTGTTCTGTTCTTCCTAATCAGACAAATAACGCCATGATTCTCTGAAAACAGTTTTACTTATGAATCAGCAGTATAATGCATCATAAACAATGTAATTCATTCACAATAAATCAGCAGTCTCATGTAATACAAATCAGTTTAATAAATGTAATAGTTATCATCTTCTTCTAAGTCAGGAGAATAATGCAGCCTAAAACTACATAATGATTTCACAATCTTTAATTAGAGGTATAACGTGGCATAAGATAGTATGATGTAAACATGTGCTATGCAAGTATATCAGACTATTTCATTTACAGAACTAAAATGAGTTTGTTGTGTACAGAGAATCTTTGAGCTTGACTCAACGGTTAGGCCTCGTGAATACATCTTTGTGGATGAAGCTGTTGGTTGCAACATGTGTTTTAAATTATGAGTGGTAGTGTGTTAATGATGAAAACTGTGTGTTAGTTGTTTCGCTTCTGTTGCCTGTGTCCATCATTCTGGGTACAAGTGCGCCACACTGCTAAATGTGTTTTGAGTTTGAAAGTTTAGAGTTTGGTAAATGGGAGATTCAGATTTGCAAATGGTGTCCTGACCAGATGAATAGTGTTTCAGATTTTGGCATCTGTGGGATTGATTTAATGAAAGAGTTTT